TCTAACTCATTTGTGGAATCGGTTCATAACATATTATTTACCCGAAGAGGTGTACTAATGTATTATCCAGATTTTGCTAAAGCAACTCATTGCCCAGCCCTAGTTCTCTCTAGCTGTGCACGGCCGGGCACCCTTTTGTCTTTTTGAGGTCAAGGTTAATAAGATTAAGTTTATGACCCGTCGCCTCTTCCTCCTGGGCGGTCAGTGGGGTTTTGGTGTGGTCTGCTCGTTTTATTTCTTATCGTTTTTGACTGCTTCTGGTGAAATTTTGCGGTTACTGTGTTGACTCGCCTGAAAAGGTCGTTCGTTTCCGCTCAGCAGCTTTTGAAAATGGTCAAATGGTATAGAAGAGCTCTTGGTTTAACGCTCAAATCAATACTATTTGCTTATTTAAGAGGCGAAACCTCCGAGTTGAAAGTCCATATCCGAAATGACCGAGCCAAATGGGAAATTCGTGTAAAGTGCCTTTCCCAAGGACACAACGTCGGGCCGAACTGAGGTTTGAACCCCCGAACCCGCAAAGCGATTCTAGTTTAAGACGTACATGTATAGTGTTCTGTGTGTGGGGCACAGGGATCCGAACCCGTGCCCTTCATTGAAGCGTTTGTTTGGCTGATGATGACGATACCTTTTCCCAGATAATATTCAGCAACCCTTAATAATAATAATAATAATAGACAGCATTTGTATAGCGCATATGCCCGCTCAACAGCCATCTCTATGCGCTTTACACTATACATGTGTATTATTACCCCAGCAGACCATAGAACACACCGAAACATTCTCAGCTTCCCGGGAAGCATACAGTGCGAGCAGCCGATTAAGCGTTCAAACACTAACAAACTGACAAGATCTTTCACTGTCTATAGCCGGGTACCGATTCCCACCTGGGTGAAGTGAGGAAAATTCGTGTAAAGTGCCTTTCCCAAGGACACAACGTCGGGCCCCTGACGGGATTCAAACCCACGACCTTACGTCTTGTTCCAAGACTACTTGTTTTTTCCGGAGGTTTTAGCGTTAGACATTGTATCCTTAATTAAATTCACTTCTTCTTTTGTGGATGGTTGGCGGGTGCTCTGTTGTGGGTTGCTTCTTTTTTCCTATCAAACATCTATCGTCTTTATCTCCCCTCCTTCTTTGCTGTGTTTGTTACTCTCTTGTAACACCTCTAATCTTCGGCACTTATATGATCTTATTGTGTTGCAAGTGCCGTAAAACACTTGCTCAAACTAATACTTCTTCTTTTCAATATATTAATCTCGTGTTTCTTTCGTTAAAAAGTACTTGGTGCTTTTTAAAAGTGTAATGAAGAAGTAATGAATGATATCAGGACAGTCAAAGAGTAGTACAGGAAATGACTCCCAAGGGGTCCCTTAGAATTGTCTGAAGTCTGTCCCACGGTACAAAGGCAAGCTCTGTCGGACAGGCCATTGTTCAGGGAGGACAACTCGGGGACGGCCGCAGACGGAGCTCGGAATTGTCTGCTCTTGTTTCCTTGTCAGGGGCGTTAAACGTCAGTGACGCGAGGGACTTGTTATTGATTTATCGCCCCTTCTGGACACCACGGCACTTAAATAATCTCCCGGTATTATAAAACAAGAAGGAAGAAAGATCCCTTTTTTTATCTTTCGTCCATCCACGCTTCGAGAGAGAGAGAGAGGGGGAG